TGTTGGGTGGCTTCTGAGATAGAATGAAAAATAATCCTGGTGGCTGGGGTTGGGGTGGAGTGGGGAGGGGATCAGGTCAAGGTATACACTGTGTTTTTTTTTTCCCCCAGGGCTGGCTCAGGAGTGGATGAATATTATGACTTGTTAGTATTTGAACAATGATGAAATTAATAACTAAATAGACAACTCCCTCCTCATTGAGAGTCCTGAGTGGGGTCAAAAAGCAATTCAAATCTACGCAAACCTTCATAAAAGGTATAATTTGCCAGTGATGAAGAAGAGGCTAGATTGCTTTCCATGTTTGTTTTTCAGCATCTTTAGGAAGGAAGGCATCCGAATATCGAAGGTGATACAATTCCAGTGAAAAATCCTTTTCCTGCTTTTGAAGGTGTGGGTATGTGACAAGGGAGTGGTGGACTTTGTGATAACAGACTTTCGTACTTCAATATTTAGGTAGAATGAAATACCCAGAAAAAGTGTGTGGTACCAAATTGTGAACATCTTGATACACAGCTGGTTTTTACCAGTTTAGGGAATACTGATGCACAATGAACACAAGTTTATCTCTAAATATTTCCCTTTACCTGTTAGTTTTTTCCAAAGACCTGAGTTTCCCAAAGTTTGAGTTGCTTATATGTGAAACGATTTTTACCTAGATATGTCTACCAATGACCGAAGTCTAATGGTAGCAAATCCAACTATTACCAATATCATCTTCTGTTCATATAGAGACAACTGGAAAAGAGATTTAAGGACATGGTACAATTATCAACAAAAGCCTGCAGAAGCAGAGTCTCAAAGGAAAGCAATATTCAGATTCAAACAAGGCCAAGAAAATAGACCACCTTTCTTAAATACCAGCTATAAAGAAGAAAATCTACATAAACTGAGAATTGTAATTAATGCTATTATACAAATAATATCATTTTGCTAAGGGCACAATATTACAGGAATCATTAAAGAATAGTCTGGAAGGAAATCAGAGAGTTGAATGGGAAAGTCAATGTCTGAAAAGATTACACGTATCGAAAAGATTACAATACAAAAAGAGAAGCCCTTGATGGATCACTACAGTCAATAGGACAGGTAAGGTCACCAGGACAGCTGGTAGCTAGTGATCCCACAGATGTGGCAGTACCTGCTCTAAAGTACCTAACTACTCTAGCAAGAATTGATGAGCAGAAAACTAAGGAGTAAGGGAGTGCAAGATAGCAAGATCAGTGCACCGGGCTTGTGCAAGAACATGTAAGTGGGAGCAGGGGAGATGGCTCATTTGGGTAAGAGAACTTGCTGTGCAAGTATGAGGATCCCAGGTCAAATCCCCAGTACCCAGATTAAAAAAAAAAAAAAAAAAAAAAAAAAAAGCCCTGATCACTGTATGTGGTGATTCACACCTTTAATCCCAGTACTCCAGAGGTAGAGTCAAACAGATTTCTGGGAGTTCTAGGGCAGCCTGGTCTGCACAAGTTCCAGACCAGCCAGAGTTATATACTAAGACCCTGTTTCAGAAAAAAAAAAATCAATTAAAAAATAGTCTTGCATACCTGTATCCCCAATGTTTCCAGGACAGAGTCAGGCAGATCCTTGGAGCTTCTTCACCAGCCAGCCTAGACTACACTACATGCACCACAAGCTCCAGGTTCAGTGAGAGACCTTGTCTCAAAGGAGTAAGGCAAAGAATGACAGAGCATGGAGCAGGGACCTACTGTTTTCCCCTGGCCTTTGTAGGCATGTAAACAAACACACACCTACACACACACACACACACACACACACACACACAGTTACACACACACAGATACACAGACCCAGACCCAGACCCAGACACACACTCATAGGTTAAAATGGTTGTTACAGAATAGAATCAGTAGGTCTGCATCTTGTATTTTGGGCAGCAGACAGTGTATTAGAAAAGTATATAAATTTATATTCTTGTATAAACACGTGCTCCATGGAGGGATGCATTTTTAGAGGTTCCTGCTTCATACTGCCGTCTTAGGGTTGAGGATAGAGATCTACACTGGCAAATTAGTAGTAGGTAGATTCCCAAATAAATTAGGTAATCTTAAATTCATAAAGAATAGAGGCCAGCAAGCCATCTGGAGCTCAGCTATTAACAAGATGCTATGTGCTTCTTGCTGTTTTAGACATTTAACAAAACAGCAAAAGTCAGGTGAATTAAAAGGAGGAAAAGCTGGAGGATGACAGTGGTTAATAACATGTACTGCTCTTGCAAAGGACCCAAGTTCAGTACCCAGCATCCACAAAGGCAGCTCCAAGGGGATTTGATGCTTCTGGTGTCCCAGGGCCTCAGTGCTTGTGGTCACATCATATTCACAATCAGAAACTCACACATGTACATTTTTCAACTTTAACATGGAGAAGGGGAAAAGGAAAGGTTATCTTCCTCTTTCCAGGACTCCATCTTTTTTTCTCTTTTCCCTATCATCCTGTTCCTAGATCCCCTGTTCCCAGAAAAACACAGAGACTATGGACCAGTTTCTAAGGAGTGTTTAATAGGGCCTGTAGGCAGTGCTAGAGGTAATTGGAGCATTTTGCTCAAGAAGAAAGACAAAGTGACAATTTCAAGTGCAATTAAAGTCCTCACGCTGGATTTACTGGGCACTTAAAGTAAGGACTCTGTCTAAAGAGGATGATCGCGGATGCTCAATAGAAGAGGGATTTGGCCAGAGGAAAATCAGCAAGCACTGCAATTAGTTGGCACTCATGCAGTTCTCATTACCATTGGAATAATGTATAAATGCTGAAAAAGATGACTACTTTCAAAATTATGAAAACAAAATTCAATCTCTTACAAACTCACAAAATTCAGAGTTTATTGTTGGAATAATCCATAATGGAAGATTGATTCAGAGGTGAGATAAATTATAATGATGATGATGATGTCCTGCACTTTTTAATTAGCATAGAGAGAGCAGTGAGAAAATTCATTAAAATAGTGGCAGAACCTTCCTGCCTCAACGAGATGATCGGACAGACTTAGTAGACTTCCTTTGGGAGGCCTTTCCCTCTCTGAGGAGCAGATCTGAGGTGGGGGGGGGTCAGTGGGAGGGGAGTGAGAGGGAGGAGGAAATGGGATTGGAATGTAAAAAATGCATTAATAAAAATAAATTTTTAAAAAGAAAAAGATTAGTAAAAATAAGTAATAATGGCAGGACCTTGGGGCCCATAATCATGGCCTGATAGTACAATCTCATGAAAATCTGAGAAGAGATCAAGAAGTTAGAATCGAGAAATGGAAGAGTTACAAGTAGAGTCCTATGGGAGCTGACCTGCTGAGAAGGGGAGTTGAAGTAGCTCAGGCCATCTCTAGCATCAGCTGCAGCTGAGACTGTACAGGGGCACACTCCCCTCACTGGCAGCTACTCCTACGTACTTACAGATGGTAGTGACATCCGTATAAGTGTGCTCAAAAAGTGATACAACCAATGCATCCCCAAATAGTTCATATTTAAAAATGAGAAAGAGTAAACTAACATTCAAGTGTTATATATTTCTTTATAAGAATACAAATTAATTGTTTTATTGAGACAAGATTTTCTGTGGTTCTATGTAAGATCTATGAAAATCATGAGGTAATGGGCAGATCATATCTCCTGCAGCCATTTTGTTCGGACACAAGGAATTGAAGGTAGCACTGATAGGCATGCATTTAGTATTGTGAATATTTGGCGGGGAAAAGTACATCACCCTCATCAGATGAAATGCTAACATGCTGCAAAGAAGGAGAAATTAGGCTTCATCTGTGAGTAAAATGCAGCTTGAACTTTGGGGAAACACAGAAAGACTCAAATCTTTCTCTTTTAAAATTGTCAAGGACTGTACCTGCTGTTTTGCTATTGCTACAATGTTCTAACTTTCAAAATTCAAAAATATATCACTTAAGATAGTTTTCAGTCAGACTGAATCATGGGAATGATTTTTTTTTCAGTACAAAGGCCAAATGATTTTTCACAATTCACTTTAAATTGTTAGCTTTCCTGTTGTACTACAATTGACCATAGGGAAAGTCCATTCTAAACTATATATAAAATGACTGTGGGATACTGGAATGTGAACAGTAAGTAGCTCATGTGTGCTACTACTCCCCTCTCTACTGTTTTCACAAAAACTCCTATTCTTGGTGGTTTGGGTTTTTAATGTTTTTTTAAAGTGAGAAATTTATACAACCAAAAGACAAAGACCCCAGGACAGCAGAGAAACCTTGTTTCGAAAAACCAAAAAAAAAAAAAAAAAAAAAAAAAAAAAAAAAAAAAAAAACAATGAGAGATTCAAACTCAATGTGTCTTAAGCAGACACGCAAAACACCAGGACAGACCCAGCCCTGCTGTGGTGATGGACATGAGTGAGATGCAACAAAGAAAGCAAGAAACATGTGATAGCAGTGGATAATATTTTGTTTGTCGTTATTTGGTTGGGTTTTAGTATTTTGAGACAGAGTCTCCTGTGATTATATCTTGTTTGAGCAAATAAAGCCTGTCTGAAGATCAGAGGGTGGAGCTTGCTGCTAGGTAACCATGGAGGTATGGAGGTCTGTACAGACAGACAGGAAGTGAGATGACTAGGCAGGTGGGAGGAGACAGGAACTCAGTCTCTTTTACACTGGGAAGCTAGTGAGATAGAGGTGGCTTTGGCTTGCTATTTCTTCTCTCTGATCTCTCAGCATTTTCCCCTATATCTGACTCAGGTCTCTTGTTATTAAGACCTATTGAGCTCCCATAACAGTCTCCTATAGTCAAGTCTGGACTTCACCTCACTACGCAGCCCAGGATGAAATCCTCATTCCCCTGCCTCCACCTCTCAAATTACCAGCACATATCTCCCCACTTGAAGCTAAGAACCCATAGTATAATATGCATTTTACAATGATGTAGCCTAAGGTAGTGCTCTACATATAAGTGGGCATCTCTTCTAAGGAATATTACATGCAACAAAGATTTACAATAAAGGCAAGGAAGTAAGAAAAAAAATTGACTAACCTAACCCACCTGAGCTCGGCTCACAGGGGTCAATGTCCTCATCGTCGCTGGGACATTCTGCCGAGGCCACAAGGATATCATCTGTGGTCTGCAAAAGAATCACAGTAGGTAGGTTAATTGAATGTGCCCTATGAAGTCTTCTCTGTCTCATTTACAAGTGAAACACTGTTTGTGTTTATATTACAGCTTGAGAAACCAAACTCATTATTTCCCTTCCTCAAGACACAGAGCTTATATTTACGAACAAAGTTTAGACCTATTACAGAAATACCTCCATGTATGAGAGATCTTGATTACAACTTATTGTATATGTGGACATAGAAATGGTGATCTACAATTAGCAAATACCCAACCATCTAGCTACAATGAGATGCTGCATATGGGGACGCACAGATGTTTAAAACAACCTGGCAGAAACAGATGATTTGAGATTGATTACAGCCCTGGAGAGCTACAATGTATGCACCAGTGGGCTTTATGCAGTACTTATGCTTGGCTTCCTGAAGCAGAGCAGCCATAACTTTTTTTTTCATTTGTGAACAGGTAGTTTCATAAATCTCTGAGATGTAGCTTGTCCTCATTGGGAAACACAGGGAGAGAAAATTAGGCATGTACTATTTTCGGTGCAGAATGATGCAACATAGTTCATTTAAGGTTTTTTCAGTTTTTAAAATTTTTTAATCAAATGCCATTTTTACAATGTTCAGATATTAGATGCTGTTTCTTCATTGTCCTTTTCTTTTTTTCTTTTTCTTTTTCTTTTTCATTGTCCTTTTCATCATCAAGGTTTCATAGTAAATGAAACGTGTGTGTAGAGTGGGCTGGGGAAAGGTGACTATTTCCTCTGTGACATAATAGTTGCTTCACTGCACTTACAGCTGAAAAGATAACTGTCAGTGTAATAAAAATCAGAGTGTGTAAATCCTAGCAGTTAGTCACATAATCAACACACGGGCAAGCATCAAAGGTTGTGCTTTACTGCCACTGACGTGTAGTAATAAACTCAGAGGAGTCATTGCATGGAATTTGCAGGGGTTTATATCAGATTGGGCTGATGCTAAGGTAAAATAGGCCAGATCCATGGCGCAAACCAAAAGTTTGCAGAATGTTCAGGACATTTGGATGGCTTGGAAGATGCTTGAAAGCAAACTGATGCTGTCATTTAACAGGAATTGGAATAGCATGGCATGGGCTAAAGTCATTAGGGTGCCGCTGTATTGTCAGAGATAATGACTGGAAACAAATTTCAAGAAAAGTGGAGACAAGGAAGGAGGAACTTTAATGACATATGAAGGCTTAAAAATATCTTTAAAATCCAGAGTCTTCAGTTCGTAAAACAGAATCTATTTCCTTGTTGACTCTTTGCAATACACCTTGAAATCAACACCCGTCTTTGAGCAGCACGTAGACATGGGTTCATTTTGTTTTGCTCTTACTTCTTTAAAAGGGTTTCTGGATTAATGCACTCCACCCCAGTGTTATTTTCAAGAAAGAATTTCAAAAAGCCAGATTTCCTAGAAGCATAGATGTTCACAGAGAAAGGCACAAGCCAGTGGTGTGAACAGTACTTTATCTCATTAACACGAGTTTCTCCAAAGACGCCACTGGGCTTTTAGCACAAGTCTATCCTGCAGCGTATCACCCTTATGGGTGATATGGTATCATGAGATTGAATTAGGGGGTTCTTCAGGGAGATCAATCCACTATATCTCAGAGCAGATAGTGGGCTTTTTCCTAGGGTCAAATTATAGCAGGAAGCTATTATCCTCACCCAGAATGGGAACACTTTCTATGTAATCAAAATTAAACTACTAATCACAGTTACAAGAGAAGTTTCCATTTTCTTAAGGAATTTTAGATGCAACCATCCAATCGATAACTGTTACTACTGCAACGTTCTTGATAAGGGGAGGAAGATATGAACACATTCGTTAAGCCAGTGGCTCGCATCCTGATAGTGATGTTGCTTCCACATCCTTCCCTGCATCTGAAGGGACATTTGGTGGTATTGGGAGATATAGGAGGTTGTTAACCCCTGTGACATTGGTTTGGGGCAATTACTGTGGGTATCTATTCATTAGAGACTTAGAGTGCTATGAAAGGGTCTAAAATACTCTTTATGACTCATTCCACAGGAATTATAAAAGGTGTTAAAATTAGGGAAGCCTGTTATTTCAATGTAATCATTGAATGTGCTGTATTGTTTCTTATCTGGAAAAATGATATAGTAGACATTGTTTTCAAGGAGCAAGTCAATGAATGGAAAGCACTTAGAATACAATATTATCCCATTATAATTGTTAATAAAAATTTCCAATATTACCAGCACTGATTTTAAGTATTTCATGAAGGTGGAACTGTTTTAATTAAATCACTTTGAACTATATTTATAAGTAGTACAGTTTCAGATATTTAAGTAAAAGTTATACATACAAATTATTTTCAACTGGAAGATTCACATTAGGAATTATATTAAAATTTGAGAGTTATGTTAGGTAATATTTAAGCATTCATCTTTTACAGTCTCTGTTCAAATTGTGACTTAAGCAAACATAAATTATAAAGGAAGACTGCTTATTAAAATGAATCCATGGCTACATATGTGTAAGTCATTAGACAATGTTCTACACAATGTTCGTGCTTAAGTAATGCAAGCCAATCTACTAAAACCTATTTCCTTTAGGCATAATCCCCCCTCTCATTTTTGGTTGTGAGTCTAGCCTTTAAAGACTGAGCCATCTCTCCAGCCCTGATAATTTTACTTTTTAAGCAGAAAATGTTGCTTCAGTGTTACTTTTCATAAAACACCATATGTGCAATACAAAAGTCATTTAATAGTATCTTGTGTAACACTCTTCAAGTAAAATAAATCACCAGACAAATAAGCATCTTTCATAAAAATAAATTTTAGGCTTTGATGTACTTTCCTGAAATAATGCATGTATATTCTTGATTGTTACATGTATATCTTTTTCATTAAAATCTAAAATCAAACAATCCTTTTGTAAGTGGAATTCTTAAATTAATAGAAGCCTTGGATGAAATTCCCATGGTGTGAAAAATCAGGAAGTGGCTCATGGAAGGAGGGAAAAAATAACAACCAAATTTCATTCAAGAGGTGGATTTAACCAAACAATTCTCTACCCAAAGCTGTGTAATTGAAATTTAATTCACTGTGCTTTGAGCTGACTCTCTGTGACTTACTATTGAGTGCGGTATTAAAAACTTCCAATATGTCACATTAATCAACTCTGTTCTTTAGTAGACTTTTGCTTGACGTTTATAACCTTTTGCAGAGAGTCAACCCACTGTAAGAGACAGAGTAGCTATCAAGCAAAAGCCTTAAATAGCAGTAGCCACCCATTCAGATGTGTGTCCTCTCACTGCATTTAACCATTCACAGTCAAAGAACCATGATGACGGTCCCTAATTGAGAAATGTCTGTGCCCGAGCATGGTGAGCATCTATTCTTCTTTCAAAAGTCTATAAAACCTAGGCCTCCATACCTTTAGGCAAAGCAACATGGAAAGAATGTAAGACACAAGGGATCAAAACGTAATCTATCACATTCTGTGCCTGAACACCTACAGATAGGACTTGGGGGAAATGTAGTCAGGAGCCATGAGCCCAATTTACCCAGTAGTTAAGGATGCCGGGGAGACCACTTGGTGGTTTATAAACTATAACAACACTCTCTTTTTCACAGGGAATCTCCCCCAACCCCATCATTTGCAGTATATATGCTACTTGCCATGAAAAAAAAAAGTACAGCTCAAGTGCCTTTGTCGTTACAAAGATAGATGGGGAGTGAATGAACAAAGTTTATGAACAATGTTTCAACATATCATTTTCATGGTACTTGGTTGTGAGGAACACTAGTCCATGTCAGTAAAACACACACACACACACACACACACACACACACACACACACGAAACATCAACCAGAGGAAAAGGGCAAATTCCAAGTGTGCAATCAAGAGACTTCATTGATTCCAAAACTTGAATTTAAATGATTGTTCTAAACTACAATAGTCTATTCTCCTGGATATCACAAAGATATATAGATGGAAGAGTTACTGTTCTAAGTGTCATCATACTTAAGTACTTGCTAACAACGACAACCTACCCATTTGTATACTTATTTATCCAATCTGAATATGCGATGTGTGAACTTGACCGTTCATGAATATTTAGGGCAAAGCTTCTGCATCCCTGAAAATAGCCAGCTTTCACATTTCTTGAATGTTCTTTCCCAATTGATGCCTAAGGCAATTACAAAAATGTGACCATAAATCATCTCTCTGCTTGGGGAAAAGACAGACTTGAAAGCTATTCAATTTTCTTCAAATATACTTTTTTTTTTTCAGCTGCTTAAAATGTAGGCAACGGTTTCGGCACAGTTAAAGTGGGCCTGAGTAGAGAAACTCCAGCATGGTAAAGAGATCTACTCATATTAACACTCATTTTTGTGTGTGTGTGTGTTCATTTGACACTAGTTATCTTAACAGGTGAAACTCAGGAAATGTGGAAACATGGGCATAATGTTGCAAAGCAATGCATTTTAAGGAAAAGAGAGAGAACAACATTGGGCTCCCACCTAATTAAAAGGGAATGCTGTTTTAGCCAATTTATATAACACAATAAACCCTTCAAGGAAGAAATGAGGTGTAAGAAAGCATGAAACTACATTATTGCTTTTAAATAAAACGACACATCTCTTATTTCTTTGACCTACTGTCTGTTTTCTTCTCACATTGCATTTTGAATTTTATCCAAAGCATATTTGGAGGAACAGTTCAAAGTTCAAGCATTCAAAAAGGCATCTCAAAACTCTATTCTCAATAACCAGAATTTGGGGGTGTAAGACCTCCAAATACTACTGGTGGTGGAACATAGGTGATGAAAGAGAAACTAGAGAATGGGGTAGTCCAGTGTCTCCATTTTATTTGTTTTTGGGTTTTGGACAAATCACTTTTTGAAATGATTTAGGCTACTTCCAAATTAAATACTGACAGATGTTTACAAATGTAAATTGAGGCTTTTTAATGGTGTTAAAATGAATCTCTAGCCCCGCTATTGAGACTGAATGGACTAATTAGTCACACAGGTTAAACTGAAAATCCTTATTGGTAATGAAGTCAAAACATAATTTATGACTGTAGCATGCCAGAGGTGGATAGCTTCAATCAGCAGGATTCCAAAATCCTGGATTTCACTGTTGGCGTGTATCATGTCAAGGAAGGAAATCATGATTCTCTGAGTATTCATAGATTTTCTTGCACTGAGACTGACTTTAGTAGTCATTCATATAAGATTTTCATTTTATGTGTCAGGAAACTGAGGCCAGAAAAATAATACATAACCACAGTTATATGTCTAACTAATGAGACAATCTACACCTTCAGTAAATTGTAATGATCTCTTAGGCCAGATGCCTAGCCATTCAACCATGCATCCACGCATGTATACATGCACACATGTATCCACCCATCCCAACCCATTGATTTGATGTAGCTTACAAAGATGCATAGTGAAATAAACTTAAAACAAGTGAACATATGGCAGTGTAAGAAGTACAACAGTGTGAAAAGGAAACCACCACTACGATCATTTAAAGAAAGAGTTACATATACAAGGAAGCACATACATCAACTATTTTATTGTTTGATATGGAATCAGGCAGAAAAATAATGAGAAAATATAAACTCTAGACATCCAATTTTGAAAGTCCTATTATAAAAATTTTTATTTCAGCACATGTATTATTTTATTTTTACTTTCATGCTCTAAAGATTTGATATTTTCCATTTTATGTAAGTAATGGGTTTGTCTACATGTATGCATATGTTAGCAAGTGTGTGCCTGGTGACCATGGAGGTCAGAAGAAGACCCTTGACCGATTGAACTGGAGTTACAGGCAGTTGTAAGCTGCCCTATGGGTACTGGGAATTGCCCGATGTCCTCTGGAAGAACAGCATGTACTCTTAACCATTGAGGTGGTCCTGTAACCCCTACTGGGCTTTTGAAGTAAATTCAGAAAGCTATTTGTTTACTTGTACAAATCTTGCAGTTTACTGCTTTTCTAAGTAATCTCTGAACATAAACATGTAACCACATTCTTGGCACCCCAGGAAAAAATCCAATTATTGAATCTTGGCTGTTTTATAATCTACTTGAATGGCAATACCATCGCATACTCTCCATTTTCTTCCCACTAAGCTACTAATGGAAATCCATTCAACTTCCAGAGTCTTTCTTATTAACTTCTGTCTTCATAACATAATAATGAAATGTTTATTTTTGTTCTACAATCATAATTAGAAATCTGCCCAGTTATCTTTTATTATATCATTGGAATAAACAACTGGAAGTGATAGTTTATTATTAATGCTATTTTTCCTTAAAATAATCTAGACATGAGTTATTATTGGTCAAGTTTGCATTATTTTCACAATAATCCTTGATTAGAAATTCAAAAACAAACAGAGTAGGATGGATCCAGAAACAACCAGTTAGCCAAGACTTTTTAAAGGGTGAGTGTCCTCTGGACAGAACTTTAAACAAGCAGCATGTGAGAACCTCTGTAGCACGCAATGCTTGGGAAATGGAACAGCAAGTGATAGCGATATGGCTAGAAACAATGATTGCGATTCAGAACAGAAAGCTCGTGTTCTGATTTTTATTGGAATCTATCAGTTGAATACAATAAGGCCATCAATCACAATCACCGAATAAGCCAGCATCCAGTCAACAGCTCTACCAAAAAGTCTTTGGTCTATGATGGAGAATGAGAATTATCTAGGTGTCATAATGGTATTTTGTTTGCTAATAGGAGAATTCACCCATTACTGGTTCTAGCTGCATGGGAGTGCTAAACGTCTATATCTGACTACTACCCTTCTTATGGTTCAGACTGTTTCATTAATGTGAGGTTAGAACATAAGAACCTGAGTATAAATCCACGAGGTTGATCAATGTTGCTCAAATATTAGTTCAGAATTCAAGTCTCAGTTCTGGCCTTATAAATAATGTTCATTGTTTCGAATAGCCTCGTGTATTCTAAGCACATGTATTCATATTACATACTATGCACAGGATCAAACATACATTATATACATATAGTATATGTATGGATATGGAAACATATCTAAGTATTTGTATATATGAATCATAGTAATTCACCTATCTAATCTAGGTAGCTCATGTCTGTAACCCAAGCACTGGGGAGGCTGAGGCTTGAGATATTCTAGAATAGCCCAGGCTGTCTCAAAGAAACAAAAATAATAAAGAGTAAACAATAATAATAACTTTCCTCTCCAATGAGAGTTTGATAATTAATCATTGAGTTAAGATGTGCCAATCCACGCCTGGCAACAAGGTATTCTTTTTCTCTATAGCACTAAACACACAATTTCTGAGATACTAAGTCCTAACTCCTGTTCACTGTATGTGACAACCTCTTGTACTCTAGGGCCCAGATTTCACTGCTGCTTTATGCCCTACAGTATCAATGGTGTTTACATAAAGAAAGAAAAGGAGGGGGTCAGTTGGCAGCAGTACTAAGTGAAAAGAGAGAAGGGAAGGGGAAGGGGGAGAAAGAGAAGGTAGGGGAAGAGGGAGGGAGAGAGAAAAGGAGAAGGGAGGAGGAAGAAAGGGAGAAGGAGAGATTTTCTCAGGATGACCTATGCACCAATGCTTCACAGTATAGTGATTGTATCTGTAATTACAATAGACATGACCTGTGGTATATTTGCTGTATATATTTAAATGTGCCAATTAACTCTTATGAGACAACGAGCAAACTTTTTATTACATTAAAATGGGAGAGTATGTACCTTCCCAAATTATCTTGAAATACAGAATTTTGAGAACCGCTCAGATGAGTTTTATTTTATTTCAAATATTTCTGTTTGTCCGAGTTCACATTTATATTTAAGCATTTGTCGCAAATCAATAGAATTGGCTTAAAAATCTTATTACTAATTAAAATTCTAACACATTTTCTTTAAGCATCTACATAGATAAAATATTTTATGAGCATAGTTATGAGCAAATAACTTGGAAAATATAATTATGTAAACATGGGGTATTTTATATTGACTTCAAAACTGCAAGAAATATTACAGATGACATTTGCATTTGTTACTATCATTACAGTATGGATCCCTTTTCCTTATGGTCACCTATTCTAATTTCACTACAAATCCTTTTGTGACAAACTTCAAGTTTGTCACCACTGCTCATAAGTGACAGCTTGTTAAGTCTCAAAATAAGAATGAGAAAGTATAGATTCCTTTCCAGAAGTATCTCCCATAAGACTCAGAGATAAGAATTGAGCTGAAAAATCACATCTTTCAAAGATTTTACCTGCCTTATAATGTCTATGGAAGTGACAAGGAGACTTTATAACTCGTTTTCACATTGTGCCACATGACAGGAATTTAGGGTAGAGAAATAGAAAAAAAAAGGAAAGGAAGAAATAAAGAAATGAAAGGAAGGAAGGAAGGAAGGAAGGAAGGAAGGAAGGAAGGAAGAAAGGAAGGGACATCATGTTTAGTAGAAAGAAGAATGACTGAAGGTTAGGTGGGAGGCAAAGCTAAAATTGTCTTGCACTGAGTTCATTGACATACTACTTTCATGAAGCATCTGAGACGGTACTGAGATGAAGCCTACTTTAGCAAGAATTGGTGTGTGTGTGTGTGTGTGTGTGTGTGTGTGTGTGTGTGTGGTGTAATCATTATCTCTTTTTCTTTCACATTCAGTATCCCTTAGCTACTCCTGTCTCCTATAGACTACATGGCAGTTGTTTTATACTATGAACTTTCATTTAATTGCATGGAAACTATACCTTTCTGTTTTCCTTCAACATCTAACTATATATTGAAAGTTTCATTTTCTTTCTGAGCTGGGCCTTGGTGGCACTTCTGAAATGAAAATTATACAGAGATAAAGACTGGCTGACACAAGCCATCAAATTCAGACCAAGAAATAGATGCACAGTTAAGTGCAGTCATGCAGCTTCTTTCCATTGATTCCCATATGCATCTAGGCATTTGTTAATTCGTTCAGCCATAGTAATCTGTTGAATACTTTTGAATAACAAAGAGTCCTACAGTGGAAAATATCATCGATACTTTTCTGGCTCCAAGTATTTATCATACAGTGATAGAGCATGTCTCAGTTTTGAGACAACATCTATCCTTTTATGGATCAGGCAATTAATCATTCACACATTGAAGGTTGATGTTCTAGTGCCTGGTATAACATTTGGCAATAGGATACAAGTATCTAATCAGTGAACCAAACATTGTTTCAGCCCATATAAAACATGCGTGATTTCACAGAGAAATTAAGGGCTTTATCTAAACCACTAAAAGATACCAGATATAATTCAAGCACTTAAAATTTTTACACAAATAATTTCAAATGCGATGCTCTAGGATCCATGAAAAATCATCACTTGGAAAAGGAAGAAGCATGGCCATGCTAACTTCTTTAGAAAATGATGGCTTTCCCAACATCATTTGTTTTTTAAAAAAGACACCCTTTGTTTTTATTTTATGATCAGGTGATTTACCTGCATGTGTCTGTGAACCGTGTGAGTGCAGTGCCAGTGAAAGCCAGAAGAGGGCATCAGATGCCCTGGGGCTGGAGTTAACAGAGGTGTCAGGAACTCAACCCCATTACTCTAGAAGAGCAGTTGGCAATCTCTCTAGCTACTCCCATAATAATTTTTAAGCAACTGAGGTCATCTCATTTCACAATTAAATGAATAGTGCTGATATTTAAGCACCCTTCCCTGCTTTACTTTCCCCCTTTGCCCTTTCTATTCAATTTGTGGTGTCCCAATGGCCAGTGTGGCCATCTCGGGAGGAAAGAACACCTCACACTAGGCCAACTGGCCAATGATGCTTGACTTTTACCAATGCACCGCAGCACTTAGGGCTCACCTACACAGCTGCAGGTGATGTGTATATTCTCTTCCAGTTGTCACTTCTATAAGACTCCATCAGTCTTTGCTAGCTGGAGATGTTTCTGTGATGATGAACTTGTGATACAAGAGACAAGATCTACTTCTTTGTCTAAAACCCTTCTTGGTACTAGGAAGGTGTCTTTACATATGTAGTTCTCCAGTTGAATTACTAAGTTCTGAACAATGGATCAGAATAATTTCCCCCAAATACATAGGGTGTGTGTGTGGGGATTAGGTGGTCTTATTTGTTTTTAAAGATGATTATTTGTTTTTAAGATAGGTTATCCTGGCAAATCTGAGAAAAATGCTAAGTGATCAGGAACAATCTTTGTGATTCAATTCTCAGAGTCCAAACAGGGAAGATGCCATGCACTGGTCCTCTGCAAGAAGCTTGCTTTTTCTACTATAAGCAGAGAAGAACTTCATTTGCATTTGAGCTGAATTGAAAAGGCTCAAATCCCAGCTCACTAATTCTGTGGCCCTGGGCAACTAAATTCTCCAGGTTCCTTCCTGTGTGAAGGTGAAGTCATCTTCAATGATTATGCAGAAGTAATATGAGTGTGAAAGGATCCAAGTCGAGAAAGGACTACTGATGAGTACGGTAGCTGGCACATGAAACTGCTATTGAGAATTTATTACATAGAGGCATCTGGGTCTCAAACTGGCACAGGTTCTCCTTTGTTTTTATGACAATGTGGGAAGACATAATAATCCCTAGCACTAGACTCCATAAATATTTAGGCACACAAATTCCTTTCACAAAGGACAAATCCACAATTCTCCATTTAAGTATCTTATAAACACACATATAAGCATTTATATAAATATGTATCTGGTATGAGATCAGTGATGAAGCCATATGAAGCAGCACCAAAACATGAACACAGTGAAAACACAAGGATCATCTCTGCCATTCTTCTCGTCTTATTTGGAGGCTCTGGAGTTATCTGTAGTAGTTCTCTTCTAGTTAAAGTACAGAAACTCTAGTACACTCAGGGGTGGGTCAGGTGACCAGTGCAAATAACTGCTGCCTGCACTCAGTGCTGGTCCTGGCCTGCTGGCTTTCCAGGTTAGTAACTTACTCTCATTTTTAGACATGGGGATGGTGAAAATAGAAAGCAGGATAATTTCCTATTTTCTGCACTGGTCAGATTTCTGCCTGCTTAAAACAGCTATTTGCCTAACAAACCGAGAAGCCTGGCTACAGGTTACAGGATCTTGT